CAAATATCTCCTTAAAGGAAAGAAAAAGGGGAACGATCTTCAGCAGAACAATTGAAGATAGTTTCCAATAATCAGGATCAACAAGGATCTCGATAATTAAGCTCCGAGATGTACTCAACGGTCAGCAAAATGGATGTATAAAAGGGAAAGGGGTCTGGGCAGAATAGGTAACCTTTTTCACTGATTGTTCAAAGGCAGAAACAGAGAGATTGTCTGATTTTGAAAAGAAAAAGGAGAGATTTGTCAGGGAGAGAGCTCGTAGTGGAATTCGAGTGTCCGGTTGGAATATTGGCAGGGAGCCAAGGTTCCAAGGTGACTCTGATCAAGTGACGGGGAGTCACTAGGAGATTGATCTTGTACTTTATAATCCGAAACACACAACCATAGTGTAACGTCAAAGGACTCAAACCGAGTACCTTTGGCCGTGGACTAGTAGATACTGATTTCTCAGTATTGGAAACCACTTAAAAATTCTGGTGTCGTGTTATTTTTCCTGCTTATTTTATCTGTTATGTGATTATCCTGTGTTTTGCAGGAGAAGCACTGTTTTGCAGGTCACAAAGAAAAACAGAAGAGTTGGACTGAAACGTGGCGATTTACAGAAGTCACGTCACAGCGTGTCACATTAAAAAGAAAACAAACCAGACTTTTTCATTTGTTTTAACTTGACGAGGAATTGGGCCTAAAGGCCAACTGTCACAATTTTGGTTTATGTTTATTTACTTCCAGAACGAAACAAGTTTGTCAACTAAACTCATTCGATCTTCTTCTCCTTGCGATTTCGCAAACAAATTAGGGTTCAAGGAGAAAAGGCTATAGAAGAAGCAGCAGCAGTCTCGCGCTCGCCTGCACCAACAACCTCAAGAAGCGAATCGGGCTGCCCATTGTGTCATTGTGTGGCACGTACAGCCTTACGCTATCCTGGTTTACCTACTTCCATGTTTGATTTTTCTTATCTGGTATGTCATTGAGTCTGTGATGTGGCCGTAATGGTTTTGGCTACCATCACGCTTATTTGGTTAATCCGCAAGGATTACTATGACAAAAAAAGCTTCCATTTTAAACCACTTGCTTGATCAACATCTCCTTTTTTAATTTATTATTTTAGAATTAGAGTTGCGTGTGTTCCATACTTTTGGTATAAATGAATTTCATAAGTTTTCATATAATTATTTTTTTCAAAAACTTTTTATTTGGGAAATAAAAATAATTTATTCACAATTATAAATTTTCAATTCCGAGAATTGGGGCTAGCTTAACAATTTTGAAGTATTCAGGTTAAATTGACAAATGAATTTCATAAATATTTTATAAATGACAAAATTATCATACATTATTAAGTAATTTACCCACACACATAAACAGTTGGCGCTAATGCCCCAAAATTTCGGGCCTATCCTATCTCGCTCAGTCGCTACTTAACCTGGTACATAATTATTGTTTGGTTCTTAGTTTCTTACACTCTTCTTTTTGTGTGTTTTCCGCCGATCTTCAAGTGTCATTCTTCTTTTAAACTACAAATTGCTACTACTCATGATAAAAAAAGTCTTTTGTTGGTTAGATTCGATCGGGTATTTTGGTATAACCTTGTCAAATCACTTAGTTAACGGTTATTCGGTTAACCAAAAAATAATTGAGAATCGACTATACGGTTAGGGTTAACCGACTAATTTAAACGGTGCGGTTAACGATTATCAGAAAGTGTTTTACTGTTAACCGAGAACTGAAGAAACGGTTCCGATTATAAGCGAACCAAACCGATTATCAAACATATTCATTGCTATGTCCATTTTTCAAGGTGAATTGCACCCATTTTTATGTAATTTCACATTTTAAACGAGATATATTATGATGTTTAGATTGGACATACTTTTGTGCAATTTTTATTTCAAAAAGATCTTGTGTATGATTTGGAATTGATATTTTATACTTTTCTTCTATTAGTTTGTAAAAAAACGAGATAATATGCTAACCCTCAAAGGGATTAGGTTTTTGACACCCCAACCATCAACCGTCCATTTCATCCCGAATCTTAAGGTAAGTATTAATGGAAGGGATTTGTTTTTTAATTTTTTCCAGAATTTTGTAAATGGGGCAAGTTCCCATATTAATTACGTTTTCATGGGGAAAGAGTAAATCACGTTGGATGGGAAAAAATTTATTGAGCTTCCATATTCCCCTTCTTTCCTCCCGAAAAAATAGAAACTCAGCCCTCTCCTCTACATAACTCGACGGCTGCCGGAAACCAGTGGGCATCGCCGTAGTGGGATCCCTTTTGACCAGCCTGGTGGGTTGCTCGCCGCCGGAGGATGAGACACAAGGGATATCGCCGGAGATCGAGCCGACGAAGGCCACGCGGGAGGTAAGACGAATCTGAGATTCCGTGCGGTGGTTCTGGGCATGCAAAGAATAGTGGCTCCTGTGTCGGCATCGAATGACGGGGAAGTGCAGACGAGATCGGACTCGCCTCCCGATCGCCGGATGGATTGCTGGCTGTCGAGGGAGAACTCGTCGGAGATAAAGAAGAACATGGAGGGCGCCGATTACTCATTTCTTACCGCTTCTTGTCGTGAAGTGCAACTCTACAACGTCTAGTAGACAACGACATTGTCGTGAACATGCACCACTGATCTGGTACATATATCATTGAACTGATACATGTACCACTAAACTGGTATATTTATCACTAGAGTGGTATATGTATCACTAAAGTGGTATATATCAATGAACTGATACATGTACCACTAAACTGGTATATTTATCACTAGAGTGGTATATGTATCACTAAAGTGGTATATGTACCACTGATCAAGTGGTATATGTACCATTGACCTGATACGAGTACCAGTGCAACTATTCAAGTCATACTTTCCACACAAAAAATGTGACCACCCACTTGCAGCGTTAGATATATTGTACTTGTACCATTAGCAAAATCGAAACTCATCCTAAATGTTCCCGTTGCAGTGTTAGATATACTTTTGAGTGGTACCATTGAAATGGTACATGTACCACTAAACTGATAGATGTGTCAGTGAACTGATACACATACCATTGTACTAATAGATGTATCACTGAACTGATACATGTACCACTGAATTGATACATGTACAACCAATTTGATATGTAAGCAAACCGACAATTTTCCATGAGTATCACCACTAGCCGTGGAGTAAAATGTGTTATAAAAAAAAGGAATATGCCAACAACAATAAAATATCCAGCCAATGTAACAAATAAAACATGAAGTCACTAAGAAATTGTTTGTGGGAAGTCTAAACAACGGTAAATCAGGTGTCGAAGGATGACCGGGTCACTTAGGTAATTTGACGGAAAAATAGAATTTGAATTATAAAGTTGGGGTTGCATTTCTTGCCACTAACATAATCAGTACGTTTCCTCTTCCCCCTATATTGTCCGTTATCCCGGCTCTCACAGCATTGCTTCTTGTTGGTACCCGCACCCGAGGAATGATCTTGACCTACCCCAACTTCTACATGACGAGGAACATAGCTTCCATGCCTCTTTTGTTTAGGCACTCCAAGTTACGGTCTCTCCGTCCTGACCATTCCTGCATACAATAATCAACACTATCAATGCAGTGATAGAAATATGAGTTTGATAAGTAAGACAACTATCACTGTAGTGATATAAATCAGTGGTACAATTACAACGGTACACCAAATACCGCACTAGTGGTAGAAATACAAGAACATTTATGCGGCTAACTATCGGTGGTACAATTACAATTACAACGGTACACCAAATACCGCACTAGTGGTAGAAATACAAGAACATTCACACGACTAACTATCAATGTAATGATAGACTGTAGTCACAGAAATAACACTTCATTATCCAAGAATCAACTATCACTGGAGTGGTACACTTTCGTGCCAGAATCAACAATATATACCACTTTGGTGATAGACATACACAGAACGCTTTGCCAAATCAACTATCACTGGAGTGGTACACTTCTTTGCCAAAGTCAACAATTTATACCACTCCAGTGATAGACATACCAGTACACCAATACTAATACCACATGAAAAAATCCACACGAAAACCCAGATTTGGGTTTGGGAGAAAGAGACAGTAGGGGAGAGAGAGCTACCTCAGTTTCTTCATCGTCGTCTTCGTCGGGAAGGGGAGGAGGGCCACCGCAGGAACGACAGGAGTGAAGTCATCTCGTAGGGAAGGTGAGGAGGGTCGTCGTCTTCTCCGTCGATCCCTTTGCAGTGCCGAGCTTTGTGGAAGGAGATGGAGAGTCACGGCGGCAAGCCTGGTGTTGCTCGGAGAACAGCGACAGCCATCATCCGAGACTTAGCCCACGACGGAGGATAGGGGAGAGTCGGAGGGAGAGGATCTTGTTGGTGCGTCGACGACCGGAAACCATGGACCGTGGCGGGGAAGAGGTGACGGCGGCGAGCAGGGGAAGAGTGAAATCGAGGGAGAGAGAAGGAGAAAGGGAGAAAAAAATGGGATTGAATTTTGAATTAGGGGTGTTAACCGTTTTTCCCCAGATTCTTTCCATTTTCCAATATAGTGAGAGAAAGTTATTGTGTAATTAATACCCAATAAACAACCGATTAATCCTTACCATTGGATTAGATGGACTGTATTTAAGAGGGGTGTAAAAAGCAGACTCCTTATGGAAGTTATCAAGCTAACCGCTCCCAAAAAATCTCGTCTCCGTCCTTGATTCTTACACTCTTTTTTTTTTTGTGTGTTTTCCACCGATTTCCAAGTGTCATTCTTCTTCTAACGTATCAATACGTTGAGATGTCACAACTAAAAGAAAGCAATTATAAACGTATTTCAAACATGATTTGGAAATTCGATTCAATTTATTTCAAAATAAAGATTTGAATTATCAATTCAGCCGAGCTTATTGCGATTCATTATGTGTCTTCGGTAAAGAGGACAAATAAGAATGTCAATACCATTCACCAATGAACACATGAAAAATACATGCATTTTCAAAGCTTAACAGTACATCAGACAACAGATTGCTCTCCTTCCGTCAAACTCCGAGGTGGGATCTCCGGCAACATGCTTGAAGCAGGAGGCTTCATCTCCTCCTCCTGCGGTTTCTCCTGTGGCTGTTGCAGTTGTTGTTGTTCTCCCTGCCAGGTCCACACAATATCCTTAAGCGACGGCCTAATCTCTTTTTTCACAACCCTGTGATACTCCATTGTGTCGCCACTGGACTTCTTCATCTCTACCAAATGGAAACAAGGAGTGATCTCGAAGATCTCTGCTTCAATCCCAAGCACTCCTTTCCTGCCTTCTTTGCCCCCTTCCAATTTCAACAACCCTCCATCCTTCTTCTTCAGTTTCAGCTTCAATCTTTTGGCAACGTCTTCAAGCTTAGAGATGATTGTCGATGCAGGCGTGTTTGCTGTAAATCTCACGTCTTTCTTCTTCTCCTTCTCCTCAAACAGCCCAGACAAATCAAACCCAGAAGAATAGGAGATTATGTCAAATGCATTCAAGTTGCAGAGCTTTGATGGTACTTCTTCCGCTTGCCTCGGTTCTTCATTCTCTTCCGTCTCTGGTGGTGCGAGCTGTTTGGAGTGGTGGAAACCCTTCCTAAACCAAGAGTTCTTCATGATCTTGGCTATTGGTATCCTTGTGTTCGGATTAGGATCAAGAATCTTGGACAGGAGCTTGCGGACCTCCGAGGTAACCCAGCTAGGGAACTTTTTGAACTCCCCCTTGGCAATCTTCCGATACAACTCCATGATATTCGAATCATGGAATGGGAGATATCCAGCCAATAGAACATATAAAATGACTCCACAAGACCAGATATCAGCTTTGGAACCATCGTAGCCTTTTTTCATAATCACTTCCGGAGCAACATAAGCCGGAGTCCCACAAGTTGTATGGAGTAGCCCATCTTGTCTCTTGGACTCAGCAAGAGCACTGAGACCAAAGTCGGAGACTTTAAGATTCCCGTCCTCGTCCAAAAGCAAATTCTCAGGCTTCAAGTCACGGTGGCTGACCCCTCTACTGTGGCAGTAATCTACTGCACTGATGAGCTGCCGAAAGTATTTTCTGGCGTCATCTTCGTTAAGCTTTCCTTTGGCTACTTTGTCAAAGAGCTCACCGCCTTTCACATATTCCATAACGAAGTAGATTTTGGTCTTGGTGGCCAACACTTCGTACAGCTCCACAACATTCGGATGGCGGATCATTTTCATGACAGAGATCTCACGCTTGATCTGCTCCATCATGCCGCTGGCTCTCAACACCCTCTCCTTGTCAATGATCTTGATGGCCACTGTGGCGCCCGTTTGGAGATTCCTGGCGTAGTGGACCTTGGCGAAGGTACCTTGCCCTAACATCCTGCCAATCTCGTACTTGTTCATCAACACATACTCCTTTTGCTCCATGGTTGCTCCTCGGTAGTGGGATATTGAGAAAGGTGCACCCGGCCGGGGATGGAGGGGAAGGAATTCAAAGCTCAACCATCTTCGCTGAGATCATGGCAGTTTGGCAGGATTCTGGGTCCTGTGAATCGGAAGGTTGGCATTGAGGCATAGAATAGGAACGGGAAGCGAGGTATAAACTGCGAGGGTTCCTCGTTGCAGTCGAATCGAGCTGCAGTGGTGTTGAAATCAGAGACAAGGATTTCGGGTTTCAACCACATCTTTCAGCATTCCCTTGGTCTTTTGTTTCGCTCGCGACAATTCAATCCCCCCTGATCAGTAGACAAAAGAAGCGAACGGAAAACATCAATACACGACGAAAGCAAACAGCGCAAGAAAAACGAATCCAACACCAATCCAATACCAAACATCGGATACGAATCGCTCGAACGAGAAGGCCGAATCATAATACGGGAATCGAACAAGCAGAAGACTCAGTACTCTGCATAATATCCTATCTATGGTGGGAAGGTGGCCAATTCTTTCAAGAAGTAGAACGAATTCCGACAAGAAAAGGAACAAAACAAGGGTGGAAAGAAGTTGAATTGAGACGAGAAATCTAAGAAGAAAAAGACAAGACGGTGTTTCACGAACGCGAAACAGAAGGAACCCCAATTCATACCTGTGAATGTGATGCAGGCGAAGCTTTTGTGCGGGTGAAGAAGGCAGGCGGCGACGGAGTAGAAGTTGAGAAGAGGCGTATAATAATGAATGGGGGAAATCCGAAACCCTAGGAAAGGTAGGAGGTGAGATGGGATCCGAAGCGGAGGAGTAGGGAATGAAATCTAATCTCTGTCTGACAGAGAAACACGGCTGGCTGGCTGGCTGCCTGTATTGTATTGTATGTATATGCTTTGCTGGTTGTGGTTGGGTTCACCTCCGCTCCTCTCCTCTGCTCTGCTCTGGCTTTCTTAAATATTCGGGGGATCTTTGAATTGGATACTTTACCGTTCTTTTTTCGGAAACTGACTGCCACCCTATTATTAGATAAGTAAATGACACATTTGGTCACTGAGATTACTAAATCGTGTCATATTTAGTCACTAGAAAAATTTAATATTAATTTTGGTCACTCGAATTACTGACACATGTCACATTTGGTCACTCTTCTGTAGCCTCTGTCCAACTCCGGTCACTCGAATTATTGAAAAATGTCACATTTAGTCACTCGTATTACTGAAACATGTCACATTTAGTCACTCTCCCAAAAGTTTCCGTCCAACTACATTAATGGAGTTGGACGGAAACTGACGGGAGAGTGACTAAATTTGACCAGTTTCGGTAATTCGAGTGACCAAAATTGATATTAATTTTTTCTAGTAACTAAACATGGCACAATTTAACAATCTCAGTGACCAAATGTGTCATTTACCCATAAATAATAATAAATAAGAAATCAATCCGTATTAAACACATGGAATATTCAACAAAAGAAATAGAAACAACAGCAACAGGTATATTATTTATCATCATCTACCTACTGCTGTTGCGACTCTCCTTTTCCCTTTTCCCTTTTCCCCTCCCGGGTTAAGTAAAGAAAGAATTGAGTTTGGCCGCATGATCTAGGGCTAGCAATTATTGAGTCTGATCGCCAAAATGTGATCTCCAAGTTGCTGGAGACGGAGAGAACAAGGTTGGAAGCCGAATCGATGGTGGAGCTATGAATGACAATTTTCACTTTACATGTTTTACTCGATTTGTTTGGTTTATTTTGGATGGGTGTGGATATAAGTATTCTACTCGATCTTATATGTTCTTAATTTGTCTCATTTTTTTACCTGTTTTATAACAAATCGAGTAAAACATGTAAAGTGAAAATTGTCATTCATAGCTCCACCATCGACATGTAATTTTATTTAAGTTACTTGAAATTTTACTTTTATCACCTCATGTTTTAGTTATGATGAAGTTGTAAATAAGTGAGAAACTCATATTCTCAAATAATGTAACTACATTTATTATATTATAGTTTGTTTTAGTTGAAAAAAATGAATATTCCTAATGTTTTTCTTTTAAATTACATACACATATGAGCTGACTTGCTATCATGCCTCGTGATAAACTACTCGACCTACCACGGGGTGATTATGGATATCAAGATACCCACCCCGGATCTGTCCTATTGTCATTCTTAGGTTCAGAAGCGGAATGACGAGGCGTGTTGGGTCGCTTCGGCTTACTAGTGCTTTGCCAAGTGAATGTAATCGGTCATATCCCGACTTGTTTGAAGTGGGTATTACTAGACTCGTAGTAGCGTGGGGAGGGACATTGATACTACTTACAACCTGCCCCGCCCTGTCCCAATCCGTTCTTGATCCCTTCTATCATAATTTTCATCAATATCTACTTTGTATTTTTCCTATTTTGAATTTTCTAAAATCATAATTTCGTCCCAAATAATTTTTAAGACTCCAACTTTCAACTTTTTAGACTAAATATCTCCTTTTAGTATATATATGATTCAATTATGAAGTGTTCTCTTCGTCATTTTTTTTAAAGAATAGAATATTAAAATTTTTTCTTCAAATAACATATAAGTATGGTTCTACCTACCCGCCCCGTATCCACACGAATAATGCCTGACATGACACGTTCTTAGTGCGGGACAAGAATGTGTATTAAGGTAAGTGCTCCACCTTATTGGCATCGCTACACATTATGTGTAGTAGGGAGGCCAAGAGTGTTGGGCTAGCATACCACCTATGCTTTTGTTACCAGATATAGAGCATGATGTCATAATTGCTTAATAATATGAGGATGATTATTTATAAAAACAAGGGCTAATGCCACTACAACACCCGAATTATGACAAAAATGTCACTTATATCCTATTCTTTTCAATATTCAATTTATGTCCTCAACTATAATACGTTGTGTCATTTGTATCCTGTCAATTTCGTTGACCGTTAAAGATAACGGTTGACCAAACGGTGGTCAATGCGAAGTTGACTTTTGCTGACGTGGCAAAAAATGTGGCAGCCACATAGATGCCACGTCATTGACACCTCATATTTTATATTCAAAATTAAATAAAAAATAATATTAAAAACACAAAATATGTAAACTCAACATTAATGAAAATTTTGATTTGCACTTTCCCTTTCTTCTTCTTCCTCTGTCAAAAAAGAATCATCCCTTTCTTCATTGGGCATGAACAACAGCGGCCAGCAAAGAAAGTCTAAAAAAAAAAAAACAGATCTAGCGAGAGTGGTAAGAGGATCGAGTCTCCCTCCACCAAGCGACGAACCTGCAAACATATTGTTCTTCTTCTTAGCCATCTAATCACTCTTGGTCAAAAGACTCCATCATCAGATCTTGAAATTAAAAAAATGGGGAAGGACAGCAAACCCAGATTCCGGCAACTGTCACTTCAGCCACACCTTGTGCTTGGCGTTCACCGCCAGCAGGCCCAGGCACTGGACGGTGAGGTGGAACTTGCCGCCGTGGGTGAACCGAACGACGCAGGTGCCCATCGCGACGAGGTTCTTCCGGCTGATGTTGGTGGCGCGCTTCACCAGGGCCTCGCTGACGTAGTAGACCCGATTCTTCTGGAGGCGGAAGCAGTAACGGTCGGGGTTCGGGTCCGGACCCTCGTGGGCGGGGCTCTCGACGATGTTCTTCGGGTTGTTGCCAGTGAACTTCAGGAGCTTCTCGAAGACGACCGTCGTCTCCGCCTCGTCTAGCGGCCTCATCTTGTTTATGGATTTCGGATTTGGGAGGGGGATTTCTTCTGTATAGGAAGGAGGAGGAAGACGAAGGGTTCTGATTTGGGGGAAATTAAAAAGATTTTGGGAGAAGTGCAGCGGCGAGGTAGAGGAGCTGGACTGGCAAAGGGATTAAAAAGATTTTGGGATTTTTCATTTTGTTTTCCTTGTTTTTATTATTTTAGATGGTAAAATAAATAAAAATTGATAATGAAAATTCCACGTCAGATGTCATGCCAATGCTGACTGGATTTTCTGTTAAATACTAACGATCAACGCCGGTCAACACTAATGGAATAATAGTTCAGGACACAGATGGAATATTGGAAACAATAGGACACAAGTGACATTTTCGGGATAGTTCGGGTGTTGTAGTGGTATTAGCCCTAAAAACAAAACGCAAAGAGATAATGAGGGGTGAAAGACATGAACACTTTGTTTGGTTTATCAATGGAAAAAATTCTTTTCCTTTTAATAAAGTTATGAAATCTATCAGACGTTATATCGAAATAGGGACGCAGTTTCTGTGACGCGCTTACCAACGCCAGGGCGGCTTTCTCTATTGAGGAGTATCTTGTTTCCGCGCTGACTAGAGTACGCGAAGTATAATACACAATCTGCTCGGTTTTGCCATTCCTTCTGGATATCAGTACTGCGCTCACAGCCCTTGTCGACACAGCGAGGTATAGGAAAAGTTTTTCATTAAGTTTGGGAGCGGTCAATACAGGAGGGGATACGAGATACGCTTTTAGCTCTTGGAATGCCGCTTCACACTCCTTGGACCACGCGAATCGTTTGCCGCTTTTAAGTGTTTTGAAGAAGGGCGCACACTTGTCGGCTGACCTTGGTATGAACCTCCCTAACGCCGCTATCTTGCCATTCAGGGATTGAATTTCCAATGCGCTCCTGGGTGCCCGAAGTTGTTGGACCGCGGTGATTTGTTCCGGGTTAACTTCGATGCCGCGCTTGGTTATCATGAACCCAAGAAACTTCCCTGCTTCTGCTCCGAAAATGCACTTTAGTGGGTTTAGGCGAAGGCTGTGCTCGCGGAGGGCTTCAAATGTCTCGCGCAGATCTTCCAGATGTGAATTGCCCGCTTTGGTCTTGACAATGAGGTCATCCACATATGCTTCATTGTTCCGCCCAATCTGTCGTGAGAACACCGTATCAATCATTCTCTGGTACGTTGTGCCTGCGTTATTTAGCCCAAACGGCATCCCGACGAAGCAGAAGTTTCCAAATGGCGTCATGAAAGCCGTTTTTTCCTCATCTTCGCGGGACATTGGGATTTGGTGGTATCCTGAGAACATGTCAAGAAAAGACAGTGTCTCGTGATCGGCGGTGGCGTCGATCAATTGGTCAATGCGTGGCAGTCGTGATCGGCGGTGGCGTCGATCAATTGGTCAATGCGCGGCAGGGGGTAAGGGTCTCCCGGGCACACCTTGTTGATTGTTGTATAGTCGACGCACATCCGCCAGGCTCCTGAAGATTTCTTCACCAGGACCACATTTGCCAACCACTTTGGATATTTCACAGGGCGGATCAATCCCGCTGCCAATAGCCGGGCGACCTCTTCTTCTATGGCCTTCAGTTTGTCGCCGGTGAAGACTCTTCGCACCTGTTGCCTCGGTTCCGCGTTGATTGGAACTGCGAGGCAATGTTGGGCTATCTGCCTTGGAACTCCCTGCATGTCTTCTGTGCACCAAGCGAACAGTTCCTTGTATTCTTTCAGCAGCGCTATCAGCGGCTCAATCGCGTCACCGCGGACATGAGTGGAGACGCGTATTTTCTTAGTCGGCTCGGCTGGGTCAAGCGCGACTTCGAAGTCAGAATCCATAGATTATGGGCGAGGTTCCTCTGCCCTTGTGTCAACAATGTTGGTCTGGCGTGCTTCTCCGCCTTCCTCCCATGGCGTCCCCCTCGCCTCCCCGATTCCCGTTTTGGTGGGGAATTTGAGCTTCTGGTGGCACGTTGACGGGAGAGCCATGAATTTGGCTAGGAACGGTCGGCCAAGGATGCCGTTGTGCGCCGATTTGCAGTCGACTATTTTGAATTCAACTTGCTTGGAGACG